CCCTCCGGGTGCTCATGTTGCCCATGGCTCCCTGAAGTGCAATCAGGAGCAGGAGTCACTGGCCTGTGGGTGGGGGGATTAGGGGAGTAAGGGGTGGCTCACAGGTGGGCTTAAGGGAAATCACCATGGCCAGTGTCCTAGGCCCAGGGGCTGGTTGCCAATGCCTCTAGTGCAGTGATGGCGAACCTTTTGAGCTCGGCGTTTCAGCATTTTGAAAAACCCTAACTTAACTCTGGTGCTGTGTCACATATAGAAATTTTTTGATATTTGCAACCATAGTGAAACAAAGACTTATATTTTTGATATTTATTTTATATATTTAAATGCCATTTAACAAAGAAAAATCAACCAAAAAAATGAGTCATAGGTTCGCCATCACTGCTCTAGTGTAAACAGGACTCGTCTTGACAAGGGGGAACGAAGACCAGAAGTGACTGTGGAGAGTAACTTCTCCCTCATGCACTGTTCATTGTTAGTGTTACTATTGTTGTTGTCTTAAGGAGGGCACATCTGTGGTCTGAAATTTGCATCACTTTCCACCTTTCAGGTGGACTTCCTCTTTAGAAGTTCTATTCTACACGGGGCAGCCACTGAGAGGAAAAGGACACCCCCTCGGAGGGGGAAATGGCCATTTCTGGCTTGTGGCCTCGAGGGCTGGAGTGGCAGCCTCCCTCGGCTGGTCTGATCCACAGTCAGTGCGTGTGTGTGTGTGTGTGTGTGTGTGTGTGTGTGTGTGTGTCTGTGTCTGTGCTGGGCCGCCCTGGTGTCCGTGGTGGAGGCCTGAATGAGTTGGAGTTGCCTTTAAGAAAAAATGTGTTCTCGTGACTTGGGTTGGACGGGACTCTCTGAGAGAAGGTCTCACTTCTTCCACTCTGACTGTACCGTGTCCCAGAGCCTCTGAGACCTGCATGGCAGCGACTCTGTTAGGAGTCTGGATGGTCACCTGGAACCCCAGGAATGGAACCCCAGAGAATGCAAAAGGGCTTCAATTCAGAGTAGCATGGGCCGAGCTGCCAGGCAGTTTTGCTTTGGCTTGGTCAAGGGGCCTGGCCTGCTGTAAATGGATTAGCCAGTCTTTTATTGCAAAAGACCTGGAAATGGCTCCCTCCCTGTGGGTGGTATGGTCAGCTGGGGTGGCTTTTCCTGCTACTGCTGAGATCACGCAGCCAGAGCCCTGGTGGTCTCTCCAGATGTCTGCTTGGCCCGGCCTCACTCCGGCCCCGGGCTCACAGTGACTTTGTGTTTGGTCAGAGCTGGCCAAGACCAGGACGGGCAGGGACAGGTCCTTCAGGCATCTGCATTGTCTCTGCAGCAGCCCTGGTGGGGTCTCCACGTCTTGGTGTCTGAGAGCCAGTCAGCACACGGGTCTTCAGATTTTAAGATCACCAATCAAAGCTACAGGGCAGGAGGACTGAGGCCTAAAAGACCAGTTAGCCCAGGCCCTTCTTTTTGGGTTAAGAATTGGAGGACCAGAGAGGCAGAGTGTCTTGCCTTGGGCAGCACAGCAGACATAGAGGCAGAGCTGAGGCAAAAACCCAGTTCTTGTGAATCCTGATGGAGAGAAGTCATTGAAAGAGTTTTGCATGTTTTTATTTTTGATATTTGAGACAATTGCATTTTCAGGATTAGGATTTTTTGATTAACTAATGTTATATTCATACATTGGACTCACTTTATTTCTTTATTTTTATCTCTTTTAATGCTCACCCAAGGATATGATTTTTATTGATTGATATTTAGAGAGAGGAAGGGAGAGTGGGAGAGAGAAACATCTATTGGTTGCCTCCTGTACACACCCCAACCAGGGAATGAACCTGCAACCTTTTGGTGTACTGGGCAATGCTCCAACCAGCAGAGCAATCTGGCCAAGGCCATTGGGCCAACTTTAAAAAGAACTTTAATGCTAAGCACTTGTATATGGGCATGTGGCCTGAATACGAGGACTGTCTTGGGTAGATACCATTATTGACCTCATTTCCAGAGGAGCAAACTGAGGCACTGACAGGACAATTAGCTTGGCCAGGGTTACACTGGTGGTAAGAGGCAGAGCTGGGATTCGGACTCAGGCACTGTGGGGTGAGGAGGTTAGATTAGACTCCCTACTGTGAGTAGGTCCTAACCTCTAGACTACCTGGCACCTTAAGTGATTTTGGAAAGATACTCACAAAAGCGTATTCATGAAAAGAACGTGCAGTATGCTTTTGTTCTAAGGAACAAATGGACATATAGATACCAAAGTGTTTCAAAGGAACAAATGGACATATAGATACCAAAGTGTTTCAAAGGAACAAATGGACATATAGATACCAAAGTGTTTCAAAGGAACAAATGGACATATAGATACCAAAGTGTTGTGATGACCTCCAAGTTGTAGGGTTATGAGCGACATTTCTTTGTTGTGGTTTTCTATTGCACCCAGTGTTACATGGTAGGAAAGTTCTATTTCTCATCACTAGATAATTTGATCAGAAGCCTGTTCCTAGCGGTGAAATGGGTAAAGTAGTGTCCGGGGGACAATAATATAGATGCAGCCACGGCTTTGCTCCTGGCTGGACCGAGCAGCTGGGCACCGGAAGGGAGGCCAGCCCGGCCAGCAGCTATAATTCAAACAAGACGGAGGGTGGGAATCACCCCCTTTGACAGAGGACCGTGTCTCCGTGCAGGCTCCCAGGCCAGGGCTCTTTCCTCTGTGCTTTGGGGTTTCATGTGACTATGGCATTTGGGGGGAACGCCCAGTGGGCAGCTAGGGTTCCAGGACCAGAGACAGAAGGGTTCCAGGAGGCCCATGAGTTGCCAGCCTTTGGGGATAAGAGCGGGAGGGGCCCTGGGGGAACCTTTCAGGGGATCCCAGCTGGAAAGCCACCTCCTTCTGGTGCCAGCTGTGGAGAAGGGTCCCCAGCAAAGAGAATCTGTCGTCATGGGAGGTGGGAAGGGTGTGGCAGCCCTAAGCAGGCTCCTCGTCCCGGGGTTTAGGGAGGAAGGTGACTGGCCAGGACTTACTTTTTCAGCTCTGATCACCTAGTTCTGCTCTGTCGTCCTCTAAGGTTCTACTTATGAAATTCTGAAAGCGATTTTGTTTCTTTCTCCCACCAGAGACCACCTGGGAGCGCCCCAGCGGTTCTGGGATTCCGGCCAGCCCTGGCACTCACAGGAGCCCTCTGCCTCCGACAGGTACTGTGCATGTACTGCTTTGGGGTCAAGATTGGGAAAGGTCAAGACTCAGGATCCCCGGGTCTGAAGAACCAAACCCAGGGAGGGGCCTGGAGGGAAAGGAGGCCCTAAAAGCCTGTTGCTTCACCAGATGGTATTGGCCCTG